GCTCAGAAAGCAAGCACTACAGGGGTCATTCAAGGCAGCAAGTAAACATTGCCTGGCTGAATGCATCACTTAAAGACACATTACTGGGAATAATTGTCAAAAGGTTCCTTCAAAGCCTCCCTAATTTGAATACTCCCCCTGCTAGTGCCCCTCTTATTACCCTAGTATCTGGCTGCTCAAATCAGCAGCCAGCCGATCTACCTCAGTGCTCCACCCCTGTGGAAACTTTTCCCCCTTCGCTTTGCAAATGTTATGCAGAGCAAAACAGGCTGCAATAACTATCGGAATATTTTCCTCACTGAGGTCCAACCTGACAAAAAGGCAGCACCAGCAAACTTTTAATCAGCCAAAGGCACATTCAGTGATCATTCGGCACCTGCTGAACTTATTGTTGAAGCACTCCTTGCTGCTGTCTAGGTTCCCAGTGTAAGACTTCATGAACCATGGGAGCAAGGGCCAGGCGGGGTGTTCCAAGATCCCTATGGGCATTTCCACATCCCCTGTAGTGGGGTGGTCCCCCACTCCTACCTGGAAGGGCTTAAAACAGCCCTGGCAGAGGGCTGCAGCTCTAAAAGCTGGGCTGATTGGGGAAGCAGCCACAGCTGGGCCACGCCCCAATCAGGCCACAGCTGGCCTGTATAAAAAGGCTGGGAGCCAGGAGCTCAACAGTCTCTCTCTGTGTTCAGAGAGAGAAGGGCCTGGCTGTAGGGAGCTTGAGACAGGGTACCTGAGTGGAGCAGGAAAGGCAGAGGAGCTGGGGAGCTCCAGCCTGGAAAGCCCCAGGCTGCGGCCTAGCATAAGGCCAACAGGTACTGGGGGTTGCAGAGGGCAGCCCAGGGGTAGGCCAAGGCAGCAGGTCCAACCCTCCTTGCCAGTGATGAGTAGGCTGATACTGCAGTCTGCCCCAGGTGTGGGGCTAGATGATGACTGGCAGTAGCCTGATACTGAGGCGAGGTGGGGATAGTGGGTGGGGGTTCCCCAGGGAGGGGTAACCCTAAGACTGTGGGGTTACTGCCAGGGGGCAACACCCCAGGTACAAGGGCACCGGGGTCCAGGGAGGGACATGGGGTCCAGAGGACAGGCGGATCACTGGCCTGCAGAGGGCGCTCTGGGCTGGAAATCGAGCTGATTCCCAGAAGAGACCAGCAGGAGGCGCCGCTGGGTGAGTCCGCACTTCTACACCCCCAATTGAATCTTCTGGTCTGGAAAGTCCCAACATGCAGCTTTCTATACAGTTCAGTGTTCCTAAAGATGCACGCATCATGCACCTTCCCTAACCACCCTGCATTGATGTCAGTGAAACAGCCCTGGTGATCCACCAGCACCTGCAAGACCATGGAGAAGTAGCCCTTCTGGTTCACGTACTCTGTCACAAGATGGTCTGGGGCCAAAATTGGGATATACATTCCATCTATTACTCCACCGCAGTTAGGGAATCCCATTGCCTCAAAGTCATCAAGTATTTCCTGCACATTACTGAGAGCCATAGTCCTTTGTAGCAGAAGGTGATTAATGGCCCTGCATACTTGCATCACCACAACCTCCACGGTAGACTTTCCAACTCCAAACTGATTCACGACTGGCCAGTAGCAGTCTGGAGTTGCCAGCTTCCACACAGCAATCGCCACTCACTTTTCCACAGTGAAAGCAGCTCTCATTCTGGAGTCCTTGCGCCCGCCAGAGTGCTGGGGCAAGCTCTGCACACAGTTCCAGGAAGGTGGATTTGTGCATCTGAAAGTTCTGCAGACACTGCTTATCATCCCAGACCTACATAACGATGCGATCCCACCACTCACTGCTTGTTTCCCGAGCCCAATACCGAAGGTCCATGTGCAGCTGCTCCATGAATGCCAGCAGCAACCTTGAATTATTTCTTTCCATGGCACGCAGCAGGGCAGGCACCCCCAATTCACATTCTGATTCACAGCTCATGAAATACTGCAGGACCAGCCGCATTGTGTTCATAACACATCACCAGACTGGTGAGCAGTTCAGGATCCATGCTTTCAGGCAGTGATGAGCTTCCAAAATCCTAAGAACCAGTTCCCTACCGGGTCCACTCGCTCTGGGTTTTCGGTGGCAAGTTCTTGACCGGGAGCAGGTGAAGGACCTGCCGCCAAAGTGCCGCGGAAGAGAGAAAGAGCTCTGTGTAAGCTTGAAAGCTTGTCTCTCTCACCAACAGAAGTTAGTCCAATAAAAGATATTACCTCACCCACTTTGTATCTGAAAACTTTTATCTACCCAAGAAATGGCAAGAATGTTCTGGCTCTTAAGTGTGAACATTAATTAACAATGGTGATCTGAAGACAGTAACCACCTCAGCAGTATTCAGCAAGGGCTCCATTTGCTAGTTGACGGAGGGACACTGAGGGCAAGTCTACATTACAAAATTAAGCTAAATTACGTCGACATACAGCTGCCATAGTAATTAAATCACTTTTGCATGTCCATGCTCCTTGTGTTGGTGGTGTGTATCATCACTGGCAGCGCTCGCATCGATGCAGAGAGCAGTGCACCTTGGGTAGCTATCCCACTGTGCAATTCACCACTCACAGGGTGTTTTGGGAAGGGTTTGCAATGCCTCATGGGGGCAAACAAATCACACAGGGGTGACTGGGATTGGGAATATGGTTTCAACGTCCCATGATGCAGTTTTCTCCATCCCATAATTTTATCTGCATCACATAATGTTTCACGCTGCTTTTTAAAAGCTCCGCAAACCTGCGCGTCCACCATCTATCTGTGTGAGAAACATGGATCCTGCACTGCTCTGCACTATTGTAATGCGTGTTGCGAGCATGGTGCGCCTGATCCTGCAATATTTGCAGAGCCGCCAGAGTAGCCACAGGGAACATGATGATTTGTTGGAGGCCAGATTGCTGTGGGACATAGAAAGAAACAATTCAAGGTTGTTGTTGGCATTCATGAAGCAGCTGCAGACAATGGAGCGCCAGTTCTGGGCCTGAGAAACGAGCAATGGCTGGTGGGATCACATCGTTATGCAGGTATGGGATGACGGGTGGCTGCAGAACTTTTGGATGCGCAAGGCCACATTCCTGGATGTGTGCGTGGAGCTTGCCCCAACCCTCCAGTGCAGTGACACCAGAAGGAGAGCTGCACTGATAGTGGAGAAGCAAGTGGCGATCGCTGTGCAGAAGCTTGCCACGACAGATTGCTACGATCAGTCAAGAATCAATTGGGAGTTGGGAAATCCACTGTGGGGGTTGCTGTGATGCAAGTGAACAGGGCCATCAATTGCACCCTGCTACGAAGGACTGGAACTCTGGGCAATGCCCAGGACATAGTGGGTGGTTTTGCAACAATGGGGTTCCTGGACTGCAGTGGGGCAATAGATGGCATGCATATCCCTATTTTGGCACCAGACCAGCTTGCCACAGAATACATCAACAGAAAAGGCTACTTTTCTATTGTATTGCAAGTGCTGACCGATCACTGGAATTGTTTAACCAACATCAACGTCAGATGGTCAGGGAAGGTGCATAATGTGTGAATCTTTAAGAAGACAGGCCTGTTGAGAAAGCTGCAAGCAAGGACTTTCTTGCCAGACCAGAAGATTACCATTGGGGAACTTGAAATGCCAATAGTGATCCTGGGAGATCCTGCCTGCCCCTTATTCCCGTGGCTTGTGAAGCCATACACTGGTCACCTCAACAGCAGCACTGAGTGCTTTAACTACAAACTCAGCAGGTGCAGAATGACAGTTGAATGTGCCTTTGGCTGATTGAAAAGCCGCTGGCGCTGTCTACTCACAAGATTAGGCCTCAGTGAAAAAAAATATCCCAATGGTATAGCTGCCTACTGTTTCATAATATCTGTGAAGCAAAGGGGGGAAAGTTTCTGCTGGGGTGGAGGATGGAGGTAGAATGGCTGTCTGCTGATTTTGAACAGCCAGATACCAGGGCTATTAAAAGAGCTTCACGGGGAGCTATACAGCTCAGGGAGGCTTTGAAAGACCATTATAATAGTGAACCACAGTGATGTGTGTTGCTATAGTGTACTCTGCCTGGCATTGTTTTTTTGCACCCTGATATGAATCTTGTAATGAGTGCTGTGTGTGTAGTAATAAAACATTGCAAATGCACCTATTGCTATTATCTGTGAATGATGTCAGCCCCAGCCAGCATATGTGGTGAACTAATAAAAATGACTTAAGTTTCCATAAATAGACTTTTATTTCAAACTCATGCAAACAGACATTTATAAGTGAATGAAACTTTATAAATACAGGGAAAAGAACTTCTGAAGGGGAAAGAACAGTCATTTCCATTTCACAAAAACATACACCAACCGTGTCGCTCACAGGTCAGTGTATGTGCAGCTGTGATTGCCTATATTCTCCCCTTGGGTGGAGTGGTGGGGTAGTGTAGCAGCCCCAGACGCCATGTGGAATGCAGGGGTGGTGATTAGGGAGGTCCCGGAATGCAGTTCTCGATGGGCTGCAGAAGGAGGTGAGCATGGGATTGTTGAATCTGAAGGTCAACAGGAGTCTCCGGCATGTCTATGTGCCGCTTGAGAAGCAGTAGCATCTCCTTCTGCACATCTCACTTCTTTTCCTGTGCTTTTCTCCTCTCCGCTCTATCCCTATCCATTGTGTCTGCAAGGGCGATCCTCCAAGCCCTGTGCTCGGTATCCAAAATACCAGAGGCTTTCAGGATCTCTTGGAACATGTCATCCCACGTCATCTTCCTTCTCCTCCTTATCCAGATGAGCTGCTCCACTGGTGTGGACGAAAACATCCTCAAGGCCACATTTCCAGCTGCAAAAAATACAATGCACAGAGGTACTATTGTGAGTGTATTCACAAGATAAATGGAAACTTGGTATACTGAATTCACTCCCCTTGATTCACACAAGTTACAAGCACTACATTCTCACTTCTCCTTGGGATTCAGAGAGCACAGCAGCAGTCCCATCCCTGGTGAGTATGGGGGCAATTTGGGACAATAAGGAGGGGGGATAGCTCACAAGCATGAATATATGTGGCTAGGGTAACTGAACTGAATACTGGCACCACTTTCCACAGGTGGTGGTTATTTTAGCTGATATCTCACTCCTGAGGGTAATGGAGGTTGAAAGGGAACAGGTCCTGTACGCATCTGGCTGCAGACCAGGTCCACATGCTGTGAGTCGGTATGCTGCAATGGTGGCTGGTGAAGTAACTGCTGAGCGGTGTGGGAAAGTGTCCTACCGTGGCGGAAGAAATAGGGCAGCCCTCCTCAGAAACCTTGGACAGAGGATTGCAGACTACCTCAAGGAACGTTTCCTCGAGATCTCCATGAAGGATTCACGGGACATCCCAGTGCACATAAACGAACTGTTCTGCAGGGCCCCCTCTGCTTAACTGTAGAGGGGAATGAGAAGCAGACAGCAACTCTACCTCTATTGGTTATTTCACTACCTCTTCTAGCATGATTAAAAAAGAATAAATGAACAGATGTGTCCCTGTAATATCAAAGCAAACTGCATACTTACCAGAGGTTCCTTCCCCTGCATCGTGCTGGTCTGTAGGGACTGGCTCGACTGCTCTGGAGTCAAAAAGAGGTCCTGGCTCGCTGCAGGACTGGATCCCCCGATCATCTGTCCCCCATTCTCCTCCTCCTCCTCTTCCTCATCCATCGCCACCTCCTCACTGTTCACTCCGGGGGCCAGTAACTCTGACTCCTCTGAAGTATCCATACGGGTGGGGGTTTCCGTCGAGAATGCCATGCAGCTCTCTGTAAGAGTGGCATGTCTGCGGCTCTGCACCAGTGACTATTAGCCTGCCTTGCTTTCTGGTAGGCCTGCTGCACCCCCTTGGCTTTCATGTGGCACTGCTGAGGGTCCCTCTTTTAGCCCTTCTCCACCAAGCCTTGAGTGATCTGCTCATAGATATTAATGTTTTCATGGCTGGATTGGAGCTATGCCTGCACAGCCTCTTCTCCCCTCAGACCTGGGAGATCCACCACCTCCTACGTACTCCAGGCAGGAGCGCATCTGCAGCATAGTCAGCTGGGCAGTTGCTAGGTGAGCTCTCCATGCTGAACCAACAGGAAATGGAATTTCAAACATTTGCAGGGAGTTAGAGGGGAGGGGCGTATACCTGTGTTCCTGGCCACCGGGCAGTGGAGTTCAAAATGGTGACCAAGAGCAGTCATGGTGGGGCATTGTGGGACATCTCTTGGAGACCATTAAAGTCGACATAAGTAATGCAGTGTCTACACTGACACTGTGTCCACCTAAGTACGTTGACCTCTTGCAGAGGTGGAGTTATTAAGTCGGTGTAGTGAGCCATCTACATCAGGGGAGCAACATTTTAGTGTAGCTGCCTTACGTCGACTTAACTCTGTAGCGTAGACCAGGCCTGATTCTCACTTGAAAACAGGGACTTCAACAGTGGTGCTGGAATCAGAGTACAGGGCAACGGCTGACTGCTAGAGGAAGCTTTGGACAGTAGCACAGCAGAGACTGAGAACTGGATGTGATGTGAACTTGTGGAAGTGATTCTGAGAAAGATTAAAAAGTGAAAAACTACAATGTAGCTGGATACAGATGGATGAACAAATGGAAATGTACAAACACTTCTGGGGTCTAACGTGGCATATGTTTAACAGCATGGGAACTGTGGGATAGCATTGGCAGGCTATCTGATCATGACACAGCAACACGTACTTTAGCTACATCCTCACTCTAAAGTGGGTGGGCAGAGACATGCACTACAGTGGGCCACAAGCTTGTACCTACGCCCCCAGACAAGCTAGCACACGCATGTTCTGAGGACATACAGGCACGTGTCTGGGGGTTTATATGTGGATGGAGAGGGTGTTCTAGATTTGATTCTGACAAATAGGGAGAAACTGGGTGAGAATTTGAAGGTGGAAGGCAGTTTGGATGAAAGTGATCATGAAATGATATGAGGTCATGATTCTAATGAATTGTAGGAGGGAAATATCCCAAATATCCTGTTGGAAGCAAGTTTAAAAGAGTTCAGGATTGCTGGCAGCTTTTAAGAGGCATTATTAAAGACAAAAGAGCAAACTATCCCAATGCATAGGAAAGACAGGAAGTATGGCAAGAGACCACCCTGGCTTAACCTGGAGATCTCCGTCCTGAAAGTCAAAAAAGAATCACAGAAAAAGTGGAAACTAGGTCAAATTATGAAGGCGCACATAGGGACAAACCTGTAGGGACAAAATTAGAAAGGCCAAGGCACAAAACAAGATTAAACTAGCTAGGGACATAGAGGGTATTAAGAAAACGTTTTACAAATACATTAGAAACAAGAGGAAGACCAGTGACTGGGTAGGCCCATTACTCAATGAAGAGGAACAGACAATAACAGAAAAGGCAGCAACAGCCAAAGTCTTAAATGCCTTTTTTGCTTCAGTTTTTGCTACAAAGGTTAGCAGTGACCGTGCAACTAACATAGTGAACATCAGTGTAAATGAGGTAGGATCTGAGGCTAAAATAGGGAAAGAACAAGTTAAGAATGACTTAGGCTATGTCTACACTACGCAGCTTTTAGAGACATGGCTGTGCCACTACAGCCATGCTGCTAAAAGGCGCGCAGTGTAGCCGCTGTTTTGTCTGCAGGAGAAAGCTCTCCTGCCGACAAAAAACTTCCACCCCAACTAGCGACATCAGCGTTGTCAGTAGGAGAGTGCTCCTGCCAACAAAGTGCTGTTCACACCGGCAAAACTTGTCATCGGCAAAACTTTTTGTCCCCTCAGCACAGGGGACCACTGTACTAGATGACCTATCAAGGTACCGTCCAGTCCTACATTTCTCTGAATCACAAATATGAAACTTTCATCCTGGTGAAAGAAACATTCCATTGTTATATTCCCAATTCTGTGACTCGCCATAGAAAACAAAATCCTGCAAACCTGAATTCTTCATAGGATGCCACCTTCTGATGAATGGCTCGGAACTTGGCATCGTTTTCTCTTTGATACTTTTCATCAGCAGCAACAGCAGCCTGCAGTTCTCTCTCTAAAGCACAAAAATCTATTGCTCCAGTTTCCTCCATTTCAAAAACCTAAGAGCAACACATATAACCCTGAGAGTGACTTTAGGTGCATAAGCATCATACAAGAAAATACTCCTCACTCTCCCATCCATCCATTTCATCACTAGAGTTCTTGCTAGACTCACTATAAGTAACTAATAATACAGGGTGTGTC